AGGGTCTGAAGTCCCTGGAGGATGACCTAGCACTTCCCAGACCCACCGGCCTCCCCGAGGGCCCCCGTGGACGCGCCGTCCCTCCCCGAAGCTGCGAGGCCCGGTGGCCGCCAAACTTGGGACGCTGCGCACGCTCGGGTGCCCGGGCTCTGGACCAGGCGCGCCTCTTGAACTCACCTTCAGTACAATCGTTTCTTTTCCAAGAAGGGCTTTCTTTCTTTTTTTGTGACTTTGTTGACTTTTTTTTGGGGGGGGAGGGAATTTTTTTGGAGGGGGCACAAAAAGAAGAACTGCTCACCGGGGGAATACACAAAGGGCATAAGGGACCGCCGGCAGGAGTCGGAAGCCTGGGGTCCAGGATGGATGTGGCGGACCCGCAGCAGCTGGGCATGTTTACAGAGGGCGAGCTGATGTCGGTGGGGATGGACACGTTTATTCACCGCATCGACTCTACCGAGGTCATCTACCAGCCCCGCCGCAAGCGGGCCAAACTCATCGGCAAGTACCTGATGGGGGACCTGCTGGGGGAGGGGTCGTACGGCAAGGTGAAGGAGGTGCTGGACTCGGAGACGCTGTGCAGGAGGGCTGTCAAAATCCTCAAGAAGAAAAAGTTGCGGAGGATCCCCAACGGGGAGGCCAATGTGAAAAAGTAAGTGTGGCTTCTTCCTGGGTTGGGGTGCGGCCAGCGGGTCGGCCCCTTCCTTCCTTCCCTTCCTCCCTCCTCCCTCCTCTTCTCCAGGCTTCCCTGGGGTCCTCCCTTTCCTTAACAACCTGAGCTGACTTGCCCGGGAGTCCAGGGCCACCCACTTCGGTACTTTGGTGAAGTTAGGCTGGCTTGTTGTGGCCAGTGTCCTGTACCTTTGGGCTCTTGGACGCCCAGCAGAGCCCGCCTCACCCTACCAGCTGTCTGTATAGAAGCCCCGCAAAACCCGCCAGCCTTTACTTGGCTCTGAGCACTGGGTTCAGAAACGGTCCTGCCTGCCGCCAGCGGGTTTCTGAGCAGTGTCCGGCTGTTACTAGGACCCGAGAAATGCGATTTGTTTATCCTGTTGAAGGGGAACTCTGTGGCTGCCAAAAATAATTGTTTGCAGCGGCTTATCAGTCAGCAGGGGGGAACTTCGCCCTTTCTCACTCGCCAGGGATGTGACACCAGACACGTCCGTGACTCGCAGGTCCGGTGACTCCTCGAGAAATGTACCGGCTTGTGTCCTGGCAAACTGTTTACACGGGTTTCTTCCGGTACCCGTCTGCCCGTAGGCATCGCAGGGGTGTTGGGGTCTGCCTGCTGGAGCCTCCTGAGGATGGTGGGGGCCTGCCTCCTTCCTTCTGCTGCTCTCGGGGTAGGGGGCCTCCTCCTTATCGCTGCTGCCCAGGGGGACCCGCCCTGCCCGGGCCCGCACTTCTCTCCCCACCACCAGCTTCCAGAAGGGGTTTATCTGATGAGCTAGGCAGCAGGACTGGCTGGTGACCTTGGACGATTGTGGAAGTTCTGCTCCCAGGTCCACTTTCACCTCCTGCTTTCCTGGCCCTGCCTGCTTGCTCGTGTTTTGACAGCGTGTGGCTGAGCTGAGTTTCCTTACTCAGGATGCGTGGGGTGCTGGGCTGTAGGAGCAGAGTGCTGCTGCCTGACTGGCTCCTGTTGGTGCCCGGCCCATGAGCACCTGGTGAAGGGCAAGGGCGGGGCCAGGCCAGCGGCCAGTTCTCCGTGTCTCTCACCTGTCAGGTGGGGGTGGGTCTGGGCCACCAGCCTCCTGGGGAGACTGCCTCTGAGTCAGATGGCTTCTAAGTCCCATTTTCTCTTTAAGCCAGAAGCATGTGGGGGTGATGTGACCTCGGCGGCTGCCGGTTTGCCACGGCTCTGGTTTGGGGGGTGGTGCGCTCCTGTGTCCTGGATGCTGCCCCCAAGGAGGGGCCTGTCCTCCTGGCTGTGCTTAGGCCTTGTCCCCAGGTCTGTCCAGAGAACGGGGTGATAGTATCTTACCGCCTGGCCCAGCCCTCCCGCCTGGAGCCAGCACAGGTCCACCTTGGCACTGTGTGGCAGCCTGGGCCCCAGCCTCTTGGGAGTAGCAGCCAGAGGGAAGTAGGGGTTCCCAGAGCACCCGTTGATCTGTCGGACTAGAGTCACCCAAGCCACCCTACTGGCCCTCCAAGGCCTTCAGGGAGTAGAAGCGGGATGGAGAGGTGTCAGGTGGGCGAGTGCCCCCCCAGGCATCCTGTATATGTGATAGAGTGCCCTGTACGCGCACATGTGCACGAAGGTCAAGTTAGAGGACGCTTATCGCCCAAAGGGTTTGCTTGAGCTCTGAGACCTGAGTGGAGGGTCATGCAGTGCTGGCCCCCAGTCCTGCTTTCCTGGAGGGTCAGCTGTGGCCCTGGCACCGTGGGGACACAGTGTCCGTCGGAAGAACCAGAGGGGAAGCAGGCCAGGGACGCAGTGTGGCTGGCGGTCCCCAGCTGGCCTGACAAGTAGTGTCAGGTGTCACAACGGCCGTGCCGGTGCCAGTCCACTCTCTCAGCCCTGGGTGGGTGTGCGGGACTCCGCCTCTCGGAGGCCCCCTCGGAGCAGAGGGCTGGCTTGGTGCTGTGCTGCCTGCCCGGCTTTGGTGTCTGTCATGAGAACCTGCAGGCAGGCAGGCAGCTCTGGACTAGAACCCACTACACCTTCTTCGCTGAGTGCTATGAGGGCCGTGCCCTTCCCTGAGGGGGCCTGTTCCCTGGTCCTGAGTCCCAGCACAGAGGTCTGGATAGGAGACCTTGGAGGGCGGTGGGTCTGCCCCATGGTGGGCTCTCCTGCCAGGGCCGGGTGTCCACTCCCAGGCCTGAGACCCAGGCTTCAGGGCCAGCCTTGCCGCCGGGCGGCTATGGGAAAAAAGGCTCCTTTGTCCTGGAGAGACTTAATAAACTGAACTCCAGACTCGTCTCTTGTGAAGCATCTGGAACTTTGCAGAGAAGCCTCACGAGTCCTCCAGCTCTAGCTGGGACGGGAAGCTTCTCCTTGAAGAATGGAGTTGGCGCAGAAGGAGGCCCCCCCGCGGCTCCCCCAAGACAGTGGTTGTGGGTCTGTGCTCGTCCCTGACCTGCTGGCAGAAGCTAACTCTTCCTTACTGTGACAGGGAAGTTCCAAAAAGCGCCCAGAAGTGAAAAAAGGGGCTGCTCACTGCCTTAGTACCGACCGTGTGCTGCGTTCCTTTTGAGCCCCTCTTAGGTGTGTCCTCTCTTCCTCTCTGGCCACTTTCGTGCAGGACAAACCCACCCCGAGTGTAGTCGTAAAGGAGAAGTCGGATTTGCTTGTGCTTCCCTAGATGGCGGGAGCAGGTGTCGGAGCAGGTGTCGGGCCGCACCCCTTGTGACACCACTGCCCGGGAGGACAGGTGGCAGAGGGGCTTCAGCTCTTTGGAGGGGTCATCGTCAGCTGCTGAGGGGTCTGTTTGCCCCAAGGCTGTGCTGCTTGGACCCTCACCCCCAGCCTACAGCTGCCTTTCTGGCTGCCTTTCTGTTGAGGGCAGGTGGGGTCTTGGTGATGGTCCTGTGGCTTTGGGATAGGTGTGTGCAGAGCCCCAGGGTGTGTGTGCGTCTGGGGAGCGGTGGGCCCAGTGGGGCAGCTCAGGCCTCGCGGCCTGCTTTCCCCATCCGTGACCCTGGTGCACCCGGGCCAGTCCCTTCCCTTTGCGTCCCTGCCCCTGTGGCCGAGCTAGGCCTCCCGTGGCGAGGCTGGACCACTCTGCAGTGACTGGTGGGCAGTGAGCAGTTGGGAAGCGGTTGGGATTTTAGCACATCAAGCAGCAGAGCTCTGGACTGGGCTGGCCCTCGTTCCCCTGCCTACCTCAGTATTGGAAAGGATTCTGCTGTTGGGCCGGTCAGCTGCCCGCCAGAGGGGAGGGATGTGGAAATGCAGCAGGAGCTTGGGGTTGGGGGCGTTGGAACACACAGCAGGCCAGGTCCCTGGCAGTGCCGGATGGGCGAGCAGGTGACGTGCCACCCTGAGCAGCTGTGCACACTGGGGAATGCTGGCTCCTCACCCGAGAGTGTCAAGAACCACAACCGAAGCTGCCTGGGTCCACCATGCATTGAATGGCGATTTGTTCTCATAAGTTTTACGGAAACAGAATTTACACGATGTAAGATTCGCACTAGTAGTGGGTAATTCAGTATCATTTAGTACTTTCATAGAGTGTGCAACCATCACCTCTATTTAGCTCCAGAAGATTCCATCACCCCAAAAAGAAACCCCGTCCCCATCAGCAGTCACCACCCCCAGACTCTCCTCCAGCCCCTGACAGCCAGGAGCCCCCTCTCTGTGTCTGTGGACTGGCCTGTTCTGGACGCCTCACATCCATGGACTCACACGCTGCGTGTCCTTCTGTGTCTGCTTCTCTCCCTGAGCACCGTGCTCTCAGGGTCCGTCCACGTGGCAGCGAGGGCCAGGGCTGCTCTCCTATTCACGGCTGAGTGATGTCCCTGTGTGTGGAGGGACGTGTGTGTATCCATCCCCTGTCAGTGGACATTGGGGGTGTTCCTACCTGACGCCTGTTAGGAGCTGTGCTGCCGGGAACTTGCGTGAACGAGTGCTTGTACTGAGCTGCACTTTGAGCAAATCTCCCCTTGTTTAATTCTCTCTCCGGGCCCGCCAAGGGCCCCTTGCCACATGATTAGAAGCACTGGCAGAGGGGTGAGGGGGTCTTGCCCTGTGTGTCCCTCTGCCAGGGGCGCCCACTCTCTGTGGCCCCAGCCGTGACCCGGGCTGGCCCTGGGACAGGTGGCTGGCCCCGTGTGCTGTGTTTTGGGCTGACGCTGGAGGCAGCTTCTCTCCATCCTCTAAGCTCCGACGGTCTGGGGACCCTCACTCTTCCATTTGTCTTCTGGTTAATCAAGGTGTCAGCCAAACAGTTGGTTCTGCTGGGGGAGCACCCTCAGGCATGTCCCTGGCAGCGCCGGGTGGGTGGGAGGGTGACGTACCGCCCTGAGCAGCTGTGCACACCGGACGGAAGGCGCTGCTTCCTCTTGTTCACTTCCTGCATCCTGGCCGAGCGCCTGGCTTTTCCTCTTTCTTTAAATACTGGTTTTCTTTTTTTTTCCGGCCAGTGGTGTGACTTGTAAGAGACAGAAAACTTTGCGGAGGAGGTGATGGCAGCCCCCGTCCCCCCAGGGCACTGCAGTGAACGTTTCTGGGGCTCCGTAACCGGCTCCCAATGTGCATCTCCGAGCCGTCTGCTCGCGCACGTGTGGTTCCCACAGCCCTGTGTCAAGTTTGACATCGAAGCCACTTTCCGAGTACCAGTCATGGGACTTAGCATGTTTACCCAGGAAGCTCTGATCAGTTAGTTGAGCAAACAGATGGGCAGCCAGACGCACCCACAGCAGGTCAGCCTGGTTTGGCTGCAGAGCGGGGCCCTCTCTTTTGGAGCTCACCTTGCCGGCGTCAGGGTGGAAAGGCGGCTGCGTCTCCCTGGGACTTGGCTCTGACCTCTCCCGCAGAATTCAAGTGGTGGTTTTGCCCTAGAGACAGTTCGGCAGGAAGAGGCTTGGCCCAGCCAGCCCAGAAGGTAGTTCCAGGCCTGGAGTAAGTCAGAACACAGAGAGCAGAGCAGTCGGGAAGGACTGGGTGAGCTCCCAGGGCCTGTCAGTGTGCAGCGGGCCCCTGGTCCAGGAGCTGCCCCACAGTGTTGTTGGCAGCCTGCATCGGAGTTCAGGGCCTTATTTCCACACTCACGTGTCAGGCTGCTGCCCCATCCCCAAGGTGGCCACATGTCGGCTCAAGGTCTGAGCGCTCCTTGTCTCAACACTTGCGTCTTGGCTGCGATGAGAGAAGCTGTCGTGGTCTGTCTGGATGCAGAGGAGAGGGACTGGAGGAAGATTCCAGGGCTTAGAGGCTGGCTCGGACGGGTGATCTGAGCTGTCCTGAGCTAGGGTCTGTGCTAACTGTTCGTCACCCCACGTGCAGTTTCGGAAACTAGAGTTGGGGAGACATGGGGTCTGCGTGTGGGCAATCCTTCATCCCTGTGATGTGCTTCCCCTCTTGGGGCTGTACACCTGCCCCCCTCCGCCCCCAGGCGCCCACACAGCCGCCTCCCAGTCCTGGCCGCTGGCCCCATGCTGGCCAGGTGGCTCCACAGGTAAGTTGGCTGGCTGGGTGGGTGGCAGGTGCTGAGGAGTGGTCTCTGAGAGGAGCCGGCTCTGCACGCACAGCAGGCAGCAGGTGGCAGGGACCTCGTGGCAACTGGCGTATGCACCGCTGGCTGAGTATGGCCTGTCAGGGGCAGCTGGGGTCTGATAGTGCGTCCCATTGCTGTCTCCTGCTGCCACACGTCTGTTGGATAAAAGTGCGGTGGGACTCGCCGGTGGGTAGAGGGCCCCTGAGTCAGGGCTGAGCTCTGGCCAGGGGAGCTGGCAGCCAGTGGGGCCAGGAGTCAGAGCTCTGGGGTGATCCAGGTGGTGGGATGCAGGGAGGAGGAAGGAGGACTGCCGCACAGGGCTGCTCCCAGGCAGTGGTGGGGAGGCCCTGGGCGTCTGGTTGCCCGAGCCCCACAGATGGGCCTGGTGAGGTCCGTCGCGGAGCAGGTGGGATCTGGAGGCCAGCGCCTGGACTGTTCTGGGAGGACCTGCCAGAGGTCGGGAGGGGGCTCACAGGCAAGAGGAGCAGCTGGACGGGTGCTCCCCAGCCAGGACCGTCCCGATCCCCGGGATGCATCCTGCGATCTTGCCCCAGGGACACCTGGCAAGGTCTGAGGACATTGGTGGTCAAATAGTCCCGTGTCACAGGGCTGAGGTGGGGTTACCATGTGTTAATTATTCACGGGAGAATTGAGTGTGGGTCCTGCTCACACTAGATACCAGGCTAAACCCCCAGTGGTCAGCTGGTGCAAACCGGGGCGCCCCCCGTGGCTGTAAGTTGCTGCCTCTCCCTCCACTTCATCTTGTGTGTTTAACGTGTGTAGCGCCCCAGGCCCTCCAAGGTCAGGTGGTAAGGGGTAACCATGGAAGGACAGGGCAACGACGGCTCGGTTCCTGCTGCTCCCGTGCCCGCAGACCCTCTGGCAGAGTGGGGCAGGGCAGCCCGCAGGTGGGGGACGGACACACACACACACATACACACACACACACACACACACAGAGTTTCCAGGCGCCCTCCCCTCAGAGGCTGTCTGAGTGCCGAGGTGGGGAATCCGCATGGCAGCAGCCTCGGAGGCTCCTGGCTTTGCAGCCCCTGGAGGACTGACACTTATGAGGATGCAAGGTGTTATGGCATGGGATCCACGCCTGGCCGCTGTCAGGATGGGCTTCCTGGAGTAGGTGACCTTTTTGTGGAACCTGGACAGTGGGAGGGAGGGACCCAAGTTTCTGACAGGATTGGGGGCCCCTTACCTTCCTGGCTGTTCTGATGTCTCATGCTTCCTGGTGAGGACTTTTGAAGTCTTCATTGAGATACTATTCGGATGTCATGCAATTTGGTGCCGTTTAGAATCTTCATAGAGGTGTGCCACCATTACCTCTAGTTCCAGAACACTCTGTCACCCCAAGAAGAAACCTTGTCCCCATTAGCAGTCACCTCCTCATCCACCACACCCCCTCCCAGCCCCTGACAGCCAGGAGCCCCCTCCCTGTGTCTGCCGCCTGGCCTGTTCTGGATGTTTCACATCCATGGAGTCACAACACACACTGTGTGTCCTTCTGTGTCTGCTTCTCTCACTAAGCATTGTGCTCTCAGGGTCCATCCACATGGGAGCAGGTGTCAGGGCTGCTCTCCTTTGTGTGGCCGAGTGATAATTCCTGCATGTGGAGGGACAGTTGCGTTGTTTCCACTTTGGGGCTTTGGTGGGTCGTGCTGCCGTGAGCACGCGCGTGCAGGGCTCTGTAAGCAGTTCTCCTGGGTGAGCACCTTGAGTGGAATTGCTGGGTCAGTTGGTGGACCATTCAACCTTCTGAGGCACTGCTGAGCATTCCCCACATCTGGGCTGTCAGGGCCCATCCTGCTCAGGCCCCGTGGGGAGAGAGGCAGCGTCAGGAGGCCATCTGCAGAGCGGGCAGTGCTGGGCCCTGCCCTGGTCCGCTCTGGCAGGGTGCGGGGAGAGGAAGGAGGTCCTGTCCTCATGGAGACACCCTAGCAGTGGCGTGGGGCTGGGGCTTCAGTCCCAGAGGGAGACCCTGAGGGGATGCCAAGGGCAAGCTGAGCCGTCCCTGGGCTGTGGTCACGCCAGCTCCCACGCACGGGGGTGCCGATGCCCTGCCATCCCGCTGTCCCTGATCCGCCGTCACCATGTCTTCAGAAAGCAGGACTGTTGGTCTTCAGTTCAAAAGCTGGAAGGCGCCCTGCTGGGTGGCTGTGCCTGGGTGTCTGTGGGAGCCTGGCCTGCTTGGAGCCCTGCCCACTGCTGCCTCGAGTGGGCGCCCTCCCCTCGCCCAGCAGAGGGGGCCGGTGGGCTGGCTGATGCCTCTGTCCTCTCTCTTCAGGGAGATCCAGCTCCTGCGGAGGCTGCGGCATAAGAACGTCATCCAGCTGGTGGACGTGTTGTACAACGAAGAGAAGCAGAAGATATATCCTTCCTGCTTGGGGCCGGGGCTCGGAGCTGGGCTCAGGACAGGCTAGGGTGGTGTGGGGCCGGGGCCGTCCCCCGGCTGCAGACTGGAGTCCTGGCTTCATCTGGGTGCGCACAGGCCCCGTGCCCCGCCTGTGTTTAGGGGCCTCCTGTTGGGAGCTTTCCCTCCCTCTGGCCCTGGGGCCTCACCTTGCCCAGTGGCTGCCCTGGAAGGCACAGTGGGTGACATGGGAAGTGTGTCACTATATAAGTGTCACGCCCCGAGTGTACTGGGCCATGGCTCCGGCCAGGGGGCCAATGTTTTTCCACAAATGTGCCTGTCACTGGCTCGCTGCACAGAGTGAGGGGTTCCCAGCACATGGCTCCTCTCCATCTGCATCTCAAGGCTGCCCCCCTAGGGTGGAGATACCACCGGGGCTGTGGCCTGACCCAGGGCTCCCTGTGCCCGCCTCCTTCTCTCCCACTGGCCTGGGACAGGCGGCCACTCCCAGTCTGGCCTGGCCTGGCCACACTTGGCCTCCACGCCACTTCCCGGGCCTTCTTACTAATGTCCCCATGTGCCCCTTGCTCCCTTAGGAGCTGGGGTGGGGCTTGAGCTCCTTCTTGGGGTGCTGAACCACCAGAGGGGGCTTCTTGCAGGGCTGGTATGCCAGGGCCTGAGCCCAGGGGATGCAGCCACAGACTCCACGGATGGGCCCTGCAGGGTCCTTGGAGGGGCAGGGACCCCGGTGGTCCCTCAGGGTGCTCGGCTCACCCTCATTAGTGCGGTGTCTGTCTCCCCTGGCGCCTGTCAGTTCCCTGGGGATGGGACCTGTCTGGGGCAGGTCTTGGCCAAGCTGTGTTTTCCTTAGCGACACACGTATATGGTGATGGAGTACTGTGTGTGTGGCATGCAAGAGATGCTGGACAGTGTGCCTGAGAAGCGCTTCCCCGTGAGCCAGGCCCACGGGTGAGTGCACGGCTCGCTCCCGGGCCCAGGGCTTTAAGGGGTAGTCCCTTGTTCAGACAGCTTATTTTGATTGTCAGTGAAATGAAAGTTCAGATTTGTTTAAAACTCAAGGCTTTGGAGACCTGGTTTGTGGGACCGCAGCCCGACAGCTGGCTCCTGGGCACCTTCCTGCTCCGGTGTGCCCACTGCCTAAGGCTCTTCTGGGGTCTTCTGGTCCTTAGGTAGCTCCTGATGGTGGTCTGCTCTGTCCCCAGCTGGCAGGTCCTCTGGGGAGTTGCCCCCCAACCCCTAGTTGCTGCAAGACCAGGCAGCGTGCAGCGTGAAGGGAAGGGGGTTGGTACGCTGACCTGGGTCCCTAGCCCCAGCGGAGAGTCCAGGGCAGCTGGGGGCCGGGGAGCCTGCCTCTGCTTCCCTGATAGGCCGCCTCTCTGTCGTCTGTCTGTTTGCCCGGCCTCGGTGGTTCCTGGGCTGTGGCCTCCCATCTTTGGTCCCGCAGAGTCACTCCATGCGGTTGCTGAGGGGTCCTGAGGGGAGGGGCCGGCCCGGTGGCGGGCGGTCACGGAGGCCTCCCTGCAGGTACTTCTGCCAGCTGGTGGACGGCCTGGAGTACCTGCATAGCCAGGGCATCGTGCACAAGGACATTAAGCCCGGCAACCTGCTGCTCACCACCGGCGGCACGCTCAAGATCTCCGACCTGGGCGTGGCTGAGGTAGGTGCCCCCCGCGACCTGGGGCTGGGGCGCGGCCCCGGAGTCCCTCCCTGAGGCCCATCTGGCCCTGCCGCAGGCCCTGCACCCGTTTGCCGAGGATGACACGTGCCGGACAAGCCAGGGCTCCCCCGCGTTCCAGCCGCCTGAGATTGCCAATGGCTTGGACACCTTCTCGGGCTTCAAGGTGGACATCTGGTCGGCTGGGGTCACGCTGTAAGTGCCCCTGGCCCCGGCCCCGAGCACCCTGTTGGAGCTCCAGGCTTTCATCGCCTGCCCCTCCTGGTGGGTCCCTCAGATGCCGCTGCTCCCCACCAGCTCTCAGGGGGTGCACTCAGGGCCCGGCCCCCCGCACTCGGCTCCTGTGGGTCTCCATCCTCGCTCGTTCACACCCTGGCCACAGTTGTTGTTGGGGAGAGTGTTTCTGTGCTGAGAATTCTCAAATACGTCAGGAGCGATCCTTGGTGCACCACTGTGCACCCCCACCCAGACCTCCATGTGGTCCGGCTGTCCCTCCGTCGGGGCATGTCCAGGTAGCCAGCACTGAGTGGGCCTTTGTTCTCGGGAACCTCCTTCATGCCGGAGGTGAGCTGGGCTGCAGCCCGGTGCAGGCCAGCACAGGAGCGGGTGCTTGCGCTCCCGAAACATGACTGGCGCACGTGCGAGCCACACTGTTCTAGTGTACGAGCCAGCGGTTTTCCATATCTTCCGAGTTGTGAGCCACTGCCATCCAGTCCAGAACATTCCCGCCACCGAGCATGGGTCCCTGTAGGGGAGGCTGGCTCCCGGCCAGGGCTGCAAGAGGAGTCCTCCTGACTGGCTCTGTCCTGCCGGGGCACAGCTACAACATCACGACAGGCCTGTACCCGTTCGAGGGGGACAACATCTACAAGCTGTTTGAGAACATCGGGAAAGGGGACTACACGATTCCCGGCGACTGCGGCCCCCCACTCTCGGACCTGCTGAAAGGTGAGGCGCTCGAAATGGGGGGCAGGCTATGGGGGTGCCAGTGGGGCTGGGGGGGGTCCTGGGGGTTTTCTCCGGACCACCCACCTCCTGAGAGCGGGGCCTCCTCTGTGTAGACACCACACCCCATGCTATGGATGTGAGTGCAGGGCCAAGTCGGGCATGGAGTGGAGTGGAGTGGGGTGGGGACTCTGGGAGGGGCTCACTGGCTCCCTTGGACTCTATCGCCTGCTTTGGGTCTTTGTTCCACCTTGTTCTGATCCCTCTGCACCTGCGAGGAAATAGCCGTGACCCCAGTCAGCGGGGGTCTCCTGCAGGACCTCCTCCTGCTGCGTTTCCCAGGCTGCACAGCAGGTGGCGCTGTGTGTGCAGCCCGGAGGCCACGGCCAGGTGTGCTGGGTGGGAGGCACACGGGCCCCCTGGGGTCTGGCAGCTGTTAGGTGGTACAGGTTATGGTGACACTGCACACCTGGGGTATTGCCCTGGCCTGTGACTGGTGTCAGCACCCTGTCGCCCCAGGTCCTTCTGTCCACGGTCACCACGCTGTTAACTGGCCTCACGCTCAGCTTTGCCGGATGCTTGGTCAGTACCCAGACTCCGTGTGGCTTACTGCTCGAGGGAGTAGGTTCACAGTCCTGAGTCCCACTGGCTCTTAGGTTTGTTGATTAGGGTGCATTGAAGCTGAAGGTGGACAGCCACGTTCAAGTGCTCTCCGGCTCATGCAGCCCAGCCCCTCCTGCCCTGTCCGGGCCTCACTGGCAACTGCCCGGGTGCTGGGCACGCCGCCCGGGCGGGTATTCTTGGAGCGTGGGAAGGGCCAGCAGGCGGGAAGCATCGCGGCACCGACTCCTCTGAGCTGTGTGCAGCCCAGCCTCCTCCCCACCTCGAGACCTCCTGGAACACTCTGGGGCTGCCCGTCCTCAGGTGTGCCCAGGCTGTGGCCCCAGCCTCCTCCTTCGAGGGCTTCCCATGCCCTGCGGTCTCAGCTCTGCTGAGAGCCGTTGTAGATGGTGAGCCATGGGTTGGGCTCGCCTTCCCTCAGCAGGTGCTGGTGGGGGGCGTCGTCTCTAAGTGAAGCTTTCCTTGCTTGAGTGATGACGGTCTGTTGCCTCCCTTACTCCTGCCAGTGCTGGAAACAGCACCAAGTCAGGCGGTGAGGCCGCAGGAGGTCTGTGTCCTGTCCCCTCCTCACTTCCTTTGCCGGGGCCCCAGGGCTGCCTCCCTTCGAGTCTCTGGGACACTGCCCTGGCCCTGAGTCCCACGAGTCAGAGTTGGCGGGGCCCTGCACCCCCCACCCCTACAGTGAGGCCACAACTCGCGACCCTGCTCCTCTCCCACACTGAGACTCTCGGCCCTCTGAGCCCCAGCTCCCGAAGCTGCTGCATGTTTCCTGAGAACAGAGCCACCCCTAGCGGGGTGCCATTCAAGGCCTGGCCCCCTCCATCCCTCCTCTGCGTCATGCTGTGTTCTCTCGCAGAAGAGGGGCCAAGGCCACGAGGAGCCCGGCCTTGAGCGGGAGCTGTGGGCTCTGGGGTCCTGCTCCCTGAGGGTGGTGTTGCCGCCCTTAATGGGGTCACCGCCTGGGGCCAGCCCAGTGCAACCCGCGGGTCGGTCCTGCCCCTCCTGAGGGTCCTGGTGGGGGACCTGCCCCCAGGTGCTGAGCAAAAGGCCCATGCACAAATATCCACGGTGTGTCACCCTCGGGGCCTCCAGTTCCCCCCTGCCGTCTCCAGGGCTTTGGGGTCCTGGCTAGAGCTGGGTGGGTCCCAGTGCTTTGTCTGCCTGGGGCATGTGGGCCAGCGGCAGGTTCAGGGTCCCACATCCCAGCCTGCTCTGGGGTTGGGGTGAGAAGCAGTCTCAGTCTTTGCAGGTTCTGCTGGGGAGTCTGGTGCGTCGAGATGGGGGCCCCGGCTGCATCTGCCCCGCTCAGTGAGGCTCGGCGTCTTTGTGCCCATGCCAGCTGCCCATCTGGCGGAGGCCAGGCCAGGGAGGTGGGCCGCCTCAGTGCTGCGCTCCGTCACTGCCCACACACAGCGTCCCCTCCCCTGTCCAGGCACCCTTGCATGTCCCCACTCTCCCAGGCTGAGCCGGGGCAGGGCTGGGCCTCTGCCTGGGGCTGACCCCCACACCCACTGCTGATCTCCCTGGCAGGGATGCTGGAATACGAGCCGGCCAAGAGGTTTTCCATACAGCAGATCAGGCAGCACAGGTGAGCGCCCTGCAGGGCCAGCTTGTTGCTGGCGCCGCTGCTACTTGGGGTCTGCCTGTGGGAACTCCCACTAGGGCCAGGGAGGGGCATGTCTTTGCCTGCTCGGTTTCTCCAGCCTGCCTGCCCCCTCCCGTGTGGTTTTCTGCGCTGGGAGTTGGGGGTGGGCCTGCATGGGCAGCTAGGTGAGTCCCAGGCCATCCTGACGCGCCGGCCTCTGCAGCTGGTTCCGGAAGAAGCACCCGCCGGCTGAGGAGCTGGTGCCCATCCCGCCGAGCGCAGACTGCAAGGACCGGTGGCGTGGCATGACGGTGGTGCCATACCTGGAGGACCTGCACGGCTGTGCCGACGACGTGGACGAGGAGCTCCTCGACATTGAGGACGACATCATCTACACTCAGGACTTCACGGTGCCCGGTGAGTTGGGCGGTGCTGCGACTTCGAGGCCTGGCCTTGAGTCCCTCCAGCCACGCCAGCGCCGAACTGACGTTTCCCTGACCTTGGCCCTTTCCCTGAAGGGGCTGCTGAGGGCGCATCGAAGCCAAGGGGCAGAGACCGCCGCCTGGGTGCCCTTCCACAGCTTGGGCGTGTGCCCTGTGTCCAGCGCACAATGAGAGTTGGGGGAGGCCCCTCCCATGGCCCTGAGGGTCCAGTGGCCCTCCTGGCGCAGGGCCACCCTCCTGATGCGCCGCCTTCTTCCCCAGGTGGCGAGGCGGCATCTGAGGCAGGGCTTAGAGAGAGAGGCCCACGGAAGAGCCAGTGCTCAGAACTTTCTGGAGAGGAGGCGGAGGCCAGGGCCACTGCGGAGCTCCTGGCGGGGCCGGGGACTTAGCATGGCACTGCCGCACCCCTGCGGGCCCTCGCTGACCTTGTCTGGGTCTGAGGGAGGCTGGGCCGCTGCCCACCCCACAGCATCCCGGTTCTGTGCTGGCCTGGGGCTGGCTCCACAGGCTCCTGGCATAAAGGTCTGCCCCGCTGAGTGTGTGCGGCTCGTGCTTGCCTCTTGCGGCTCACCAGCCAGGTCCTAGGCTTCTACTGTAGCAAGTGCCTGTGAGCAGGGCCGCTGCAGGGCCCAGGGCTTCCAGGGAGCGGGCCCTGGGCGGGTCTGGTGTCCTGCTCTCCTGGTGTCAGGCTCGTGTCTCTGGTGCCTGTGGCAGCCAGCGGCGGGGTCAGCCTGGAGCTTGTGCCTCTCTGGCTTGGGCTCAGCCATATCCCTGTTGGGGTCCTAGGGTCTGGAGCTCTGGGATGTGGTGTGTGTGGTGCCCCTGGCCCTGGGACCCTGGCCACAGTTGAGTCCTGGGTCTGAGGCCTCCTGGAGCCTCAGTCCACTCCACAGAACAGGAACCAGGTGTCATGCCTCTCAGAGACACGTGGGCCCACCGCGGGTGCCTGGGTGTGGCCTGCCAGGCCCCCAGAGCCTTGCCAGGCACTGACTGTCCCTCCAGGCCTATGCCGGAGGCCGGGTGCTGCTTTTCCCGGTGGTGGGGGAAGCTCGTCCAAGAGTGCTTCTCTGGGCCCAATCGGGTCCCTGGCCCAGGGGTGTCCCCCATGCCAGACATGGGACATCTGGCCCCGAGGTCAGGCCGCTGCCTCTCTCTGACCTACTCGCCGGTCAGCAGCTGGCTGTCCACTGCTCAGACCCCTCTCACTCCCGCCCTGGTCCTACTCAGACTTCCCGCTGCTTGCCTTGACCTCCTGGGCTGTCCCTGGTCCTGCCGCCCACCTCAGAGCTGGGTGTGGGCCTGCTGCTGGTGTTGGTTGGTCTGGGCCAGTGGGGGGATCACATGCCCACCAGCCGTCCTCTACCTAGAGTCACTGCACTGGGGGCTGGGCTTTGGGTGATCTGTGCACGGCCCCTCCCTGCTGGAGCAGGTGCCTGACACCCCTGGTGCCCAGAATTCTGACTTGAGATGCCTCTCGTGTATAGGTGGGTGGGCTCCTGGCAAGTTTGGCGGCTACCGAGTAGGGAGTAGGCAGTGGACGCTGTTGGAGATGGGGCTCTCATGGGGAGGAGAGGGGCTCGAGGCAGTGGAGGGCGGTTTCCTGCCGATGTCCGCAGGAGGAGGGTGGCTGAGCGCACAGCGCCCTCCATCCCCCACGGCTCGGCGGGAGCTCAAAATGCGGGGCGAAATGTGGGGTGTGCAGCCCAGGCCAATGGCCCTGCGGGATGCCTGTGAGGGCTGGCGGCCTGCAGAGAGGATGGGTGGAGTGCATGGGCCCTATGCCAATCCCTCTGTTGGTGCCCAGCGTGGAGAGCCGAGGTGGGCCTTTGTGGGAGAGACATAGGGTCTCCTCAGAGGCTGGCGAGGTCTGACTGTCACACAGGTGAGAACCCAGGCTTGAGCCCCGGGCCCCTGGTCCTTCACTGTGTTCCCACAGCAGAGGGCGAGCAGGGCAGCCCAGGCCCACCTGAGTGCAGACGCCCCATCTCACATCTGAACAAGCAGGTGAGCGTGGGCTGGGCCCCCACCCCGGCTGACCAGCTCCCCTCTCCCTGGATTAGGGCTCCAGGCAGACCCTGGGCAGGTCAGGTAGGCCAGGTGGTAGAGGAACCCGGGCCCCACTGGCTGCAGGTAATGACCTGGGCCTGGGCAGGTGGGGGCCCTAGAGGTGTGTTGGTCTTGGACCCGCAACCAGCACACACTTGCTCTCTCCCTCCTAGGACAGGTCCCGGACGAGACCAGTCAGAGCGGACAGAGCAGGGGCTTGCCCAAGGCCTTGTGTGTGAATGGCACAGAATCAGCCCAGCTGAGCACCAAATCCAGGGTGGAGCGCCGGGCTAGTGCCACCTCCAACCCCGCCCGCAAGGCCTGCTCGGCCAGCAGCAAGATCCGCCGGCTCTCGGCCTGCAAGCAGCAGTGAGGATGCTGCCCACAGGTGGGACACGGTGGGGACCAGCAGAGTGGGTGGGGGGAAGGTTGTGGGCACTGCCAGTGCCTGACCACAGCCAGCCCTGCCCTTCGCAGCCGTCACTCTGTGCTTACTGCCACTGGGGTCTGGGTTGGAGGTGGAGGGAGGGCACTTTCAGCAGGACACTGGCCGCTCACTTGGGGGAGGGCCCCTCAACCCAAGGGGCTCATCCCTCCTCCAGCCCAGGCTGCTCCTGGTGTTTGGTGAGGGAGGGTGGGAGGCTGGGAGGGCCGGGAGGGGCTGTGGTCTGGTTGAGGCTGTAGTCTTGGTTGCTGCCTGGTCCCCTCTCTGCTTCCTCCTCCCACCCCTGACTGCCCCAGAGGCAGTGGGAGCTTCAGGTCATAGACCTTGCCCAGCCACATCCCCTCTTCTGGGAGCTGCCCCTGAAAGGGCCCCCAAAGAGCTTATCTGCCAGCATCAGGATCAGCCAGGGGGAGTAGAAACTGCTTTGGAGGGAGTGGTGTCAGGGCAGTGCTTGCTCCTGCCAGGCAGGGAGGGCCCTCAAGGCAGCACAGCCCTCCCTGGGCTCCTGAGGCGTCTGACAGCACCGTGTGACCCAGCCTCAGTCTCCCCAGCCTACATAGGGGGCCCAGGGGCAGCAGAGCGTGTGTGTTGGCTCAGAAGTGACCCACCTTCTGTCCTGGTCTCAGCTCATCTCCGGGAGCCCCTGCCAGGTCCTCAGTCTTCCCGCCAAGTGCTGGCCTGCTGCCCACCACCCAGGAAGGCCACCACCGGGCCCTTCATGCTGACTGCCCCTCCGGAAGCTGGGGGGGCCTGGAGGGATGTGGCTGGGGGACAGCAGGGACTGGGGTCTGGCCTTCCCGTGATGGCCAGTGGACATGACCTCCTGCTGACTGCAATCCTGTGCTGAGCCCCTTCCCCCAGCCAGGGGAGGAGGGAGAGGGCCCGATGTGGCCCGAGCCAGCCTTCGCCATGCACTTTATGTTGAGACTACTGGTTCTCGCCTGCCCCAACTCCTTTTTACTCTGCCACTCGTTAGCGCCTCCCACACCTGGTGACGCGTTCAAACCAACCAGAGCCGCAGCGGGACGGGCATCACGAGCAGGCCTCTCCACCCAGGTGCATGCCCAGCGCCCAAGGGAGCTAGGCGGCTGCCTTGTTTTTGTTGTTTGGTTGGTTTCTTTCTTTTTTAAAAAAAAAGAAAAATAAAACAGGTGGATTTGAGCTGTGGTTGTGAGGGGTGTTTGGGAATTGTGGGAGGCAGGACGTGCTATAAGGTGGGGAATCTGAGTCTGAGCCGGGGGCTGTTCTGGGACCCCAGTGTGTGGGGCTGGCTGGCGTCTGCTGATCTTGCTGGTGGTGTCTCGTGGGGATCTGGGTCTCCCAGGCGTGTCTGCCTTTTGCCGTCTGGATCTCTGCTCTCAGTGGTGACTCGGCCTCCCCAAATCACAACAGGCCAGCCTTTGCTCAGCCCAGGGCCCATGGCTCCACAGTGCAGTGTTCAGGGGTGCCCTGACCCCCTTCCCTCCAAGGCCTCTGTGCTCCTGGGTCCCCGGAGAAAACCCAGAGCAAGCCAGAGTAGGCAGTAAATATTTATAATCAACCAGAAAACACAACACAAGAAACTCCATCACTGGATAGTACAGGGCACAAAGCTTCCGAGGGAGGGGCGGGGCGGGGCGGGGCAGCTCGGCCGGCCGCTGGCGAGGGCTGCCCCAACTTTTGGCAATAAATAAAGCTTGGGAAACTTGAAACCTTGACCGTTTGGGTTTTATGTCTCAAATACTGGTGAGTCCTGGCAGCTCTTTGGACGGTGCGGTTACTGGGTGTGCAGCCCGCTCAACATGCAGAGGGCGAGCACAGGGGCGCAGACACTGGGAGGAGGGCTGCGGGAGGAGGTGTTCAGGGCTGGCAGCAGCAGCGGCAGGTGCGGTTATTGCTCGAAGGGGACACGGACTGCCGCGAGCACGCCGCGGTGAGGTAAACGGCTTCCGCTTTGGGAGATCGGCGGCCGCGGCCTCGGCCAGCCTCCCGGTCCTGCTGGCGCACTCTACATGGATCCTCAGCGCCCCGCTGTCCCAGCCCCGGCAGCCTCGGCGCAGGCGCCCTGGCGCAGAGCCCTCGGCGCGTGCAGACCCGACGC